TAAATTCTCATAACAAATAGTAAGTTTGTGTATTTGTAATTATGTTTCATGGTATAAAAGGTTGAAAAAAATTGGTAAAAGATATAAAACAGATATTTTAATAAAAGATTTATATATAAAGATTAATATGGCTGGATATTTCCAGAATAGAGACTGTTAAGCAAACTTATTGAAGGTCTGAACAGGTTTATAGAGATGCAGAATTGTTAATTTTCAGTCAACCCCTCTAGTTTGTACTGCATACCCAGTTACAGATTTGGATTAAATGGGTGCAGACAAGTATTGGGTTACTTATGGCTACTGAAAGATGTCCTTTATGTTTCTCTGTATTATGCAAGTGTTTCTTTTGGCACTGTCTTTTGCCCATAACAAGATAATTTGGTTCAAGAGAAACAAGGTTGTACCTACTTGAACCAGATGTATACAGTCTAGAAGAAAACAGTTTTGGTGAAGCTTGGTCTGAATCCTGATCAGTTTATTTCCTGTCTACAGATATGTGATATGATCCCTCCCTTCCTTCTGAAAACTGTAAATCGGGGTATGGGGAAATGGAAAAGAAAGGAGATTGCTTCTGTTTGCAACAGAACAGCTTTCATTTGAGACAGACCTAAGAAAATTGTTTTAAATCCCTTTTTGGGATGTGCCTACTTAACTGTGATGTTAAATCTCTTCCAGTCAATGTTTATTCAAGAATGTTTGGGGTTTGGTTCAAGCTTTATCTACATATTACACAGCAATGAAAGGTACCAGACTGGTGCAACTGACCTTCATGGATGGTTAATAACCATACTTAAAAGCCCATACTAATCTGGTCAAAAGGGACAGTTTTGTTCCTTACCTTCCAAGGTTGACCAAGTCTCAGGGAACTATGAGACATCTCTGGAAATGTCCTTTAGTTGTGATGAGTCACCTGTCCTCTTGTTCAAGGAGGTCATGGAGACTCCACCAGAGGGACTCAAACCAGTGTCCAGTCAATAAAGAGGAGGGTCAACACAGAAGAAAAGTCTCCTTCATGCTTCCAAGCAAAGCCAAGGTCAAGCAGGACCTCCTGACTTATCTTCACATAGGTGGAACTGGTGAAAAAAAAAAAGCCAAAGGGGCCAGAGGATCCCCCCAAAACCTGAGTGACCTCTGAGGATCAGATCCTCAACTGACCTTAAAAAAGAACACAAAAACTTGGTTAATTTTGACCACTGTATGGTTTTTTTTTTTTGTTTTTTGTTTTTTTTTTTGGTCTTTTTGAGACAGGGTCTCCCTGTAGCCCCAGCTGTCCTGGAACTCACTATGTACACCAGGCTGGCCTTGAACTCACAGAGATGCACCTGCCTCTGCCTCTCGAGTGCTGGGATTAAAGGCGTGCACCACCACGCCCGCTCCACTGTATGGTCTTAAACACCCAAAAAGAAAGTATAACCAAAGATTAAAGTGATCAGTATATTTCTTTTAAAGCCTGAGAAATTGTGCTTCCCAGACATGAGGCTTAAAAGTTCATATGAGATAATTGTTTAGAAAATTCTCACTAGGATTTTCTCTGTGATAAAATACTACTCAGGCATAAAACTTTAGATTTTGGTCCAGTCCAACACTGCAGTGCCACCTGCAGCCAAAAAGCACAAGTCCACTATTCTTATCAAAATTAAAGGATGACTAAATTTTTCTTTCTTTATGTCTAGAAGCCATTTAAGAGGCAACTCACACCGTGACCCTAGCCACTCCACAGCTATCAAAGTGCCTGAAAAGCAGATCCCGAGTCCAGTTGTCACAGGCAAATGAAAAATGAAGAGAAACCGAATAAATAGATGATTTTTGGAAGCTTTCATCAAGAAATTCTAGTGGACTTTAAATTGGACATTTTCAATTCACCCTGTTGTGACTTTTTCTGATTCTCTGCCTATAATTTGTGCCTAACTACTCTTTACTTCTCCTTCATAGGCACTAGTTAAAGACTTTCTTTTCTCTCTATAGCTATACTTTTGGGTCTTTCAAACAGACCCACTGGAGGGGTGCCCCATTTGCCACACCCCACATCCCTATTCAGCATGGAAGAAGCCAGAATGACCGGCCCTAATTCCCTATTGGCAATCAGGGTTACCTCTTAGAGGGCAGAATAATGAGAATAGGAGGTAGAAAGTGACTAGACAGCATTAAAGTAACGACCCCAAATGAAAAATGACCAGCTGAGAGCTGGAAATTTCCTTGGACTTTTCCTTACCTGAGACTAGAGATACCTGAAGTATCAGAAAAGGGAGGTATCTGTGCTGTATTTATGTAAATCAATCTGACACAGTTAAAGAAAATTCAAGGCAGCTATTAATCTGGTATGGTAAAAATGCAAAGCAGCTACTAGAGAGAATAAAGGCTGAACAAAAAAGAGTCTTTCTAAAAGAGTACCTGGAATACTTGAGGCCTCTGAATAGCCTTACTAACAGGACCAATAGTGAGTTCTACTAACTCTCCTGTTAAGATCTTGGATAATAAACTTACCAAATTTATCAAAAACCAAGTAGAGGTCATTAGACTCCAGGTGATTCATCAAGAATATCTCAGAGTTCCTCTTAAATAAATATAAGGGATTATGTTGATGAAGAGGAAGGAATATAATGGAAATCTCTGAGACAAGAGCTAGAAACGGGGGAGGTGAACAGGAACCTTCCCTTCCCCCCTACGGTTATCCAAATAGAAGTCTTTATTTTCCCAAACTGCAGCATTCCTATAACCTTTGCCAGGATGGAAGTCATTGTTTGCCAAGCCTGCCACTTCCTGTATCCTTTATGACCATATGCTACTTGTAAACCACTTACTTAATTACCACATATGTTATTTGCCCTTTGCTTGCATTCCTCATAGGAGCACAAAGGTCCCCAAAAACTTGAGGTGGAGGCTGACTCCTTTATGGAATGATCTGTGTCAGTCCTGCTAGTGGAAGAATAAACTACTTCTCACCTGAAAAAAAATATTACCTATTCTTTGCAGGGTGTGTGTGTGTGTGTGTGTGTGTGTGTGTGTGTGCGTGTGTAGGTACATATATATGTGCAGGTGTGGGTGAATACGGGTGCATATGGAAGCCAAAGTGCATTTCCTCAGGAGCTATCCATTTTGTTTTGGCTTGATAGATAGACTAGGCTGACTGGCCAGCAATCTCCAGGAATCCTTTTGTGTCAGCCTCCCTAGTGCTGGGATCACAAGTGCATGTCATTCCAAGCCTTTAAAAATATGTAGGTTCTGGGTATCAAACTCAGGTTCTTATACTTACATGGCAAGCACTTTACCAACCAAGCCATCTCCCTAACCCCAATATTATCTTTTTTAAAAAAGTATTTTATACCTTAAAATTTGCAGCCAGTTTTGAAAGAGATGCATCTTTGCTCTGGAAATTGTTATTGAATATGTTAATGCTGTAATGAATGCTTCTTCTTTTTTTTGGGGTGGGGGGTCTTTTTGAGACAGGGTCTCCCTGTTGCCCCAGCTGTCCTGGAACTCACTATGTAGACCAGGCTGGCCTTGAACTCACAGAGATCTGCCTGCCTCTGCCTCCTGAGTGCTGGGATTAAAGGCATGCACTGCTTTAAAAAAAAAAAAAAAAAAAGCCAACAAAATGTGTGTTACAAACAAGTGAAAAGCTTCTCACACCAAGACACCATATTGTGAAATTGCAGAACACCATGTAAAAAGAAAAACTGTAAAATCTCATAAAAATATCTGTCCGTTTCTGATACCAGTAAATTCATTAAAGATTCCAGTGAGAGCTAAAAAAATGTTTTATTTATTATTTTTATTTTATTTATACGAATGTATTGCCTGCATGTGTGTAAGTGCATCCACATCATGCAGTGCCCATGGAGATCAGAAAAGGGTCATACTCCCTTAGACCTAGAGTTACGGATGTTTGTTAGCCACCATCTGGGTACTAGGAATCGAACTTGGGTCCTTTGCAAGAGGAGCCAGTGCTCTTAACCACTGAGCTACCCCTCCAGCCCCATATTATCTCTTCTTCACTGTGGCTCCCACTCAGCTTCCTTCCGAATATTTAGTCTGTATTTCATGTTCCTCCAGCACTATCTTGAAGTCCTTCCCAACATTCTGTGTTGTTTTTATCAAGGCCTGACACCTCATTTGTTAAGAGTTAATAACATAGTCTAAGTCACACAGCACAGCTGTTGTGTTTGGAACTGCTAGTTTAGTAGGTTGTAAAAGGCACCTAGAAATTTATTAGGAACTACTTCAGACACAAATCAGCCTGCCTGCCCTTTGATGGTGTTTATAACCCATATATTTACACTCACACTGTATTTCCCTCTCATCATAGCATTCTACTTAGGACTTAATGGCCCTTTGCACTTCAGTCCACCCCAGAACTCTTACTCTTTCCTAATGACACATTGACACAGTCCTATCATCTGTGTTGAGAGTAAGGGGTATTGTCTTCTTGTTAGGGAAGGCTTGAACTCTGGTTCAACGGATTTGCAGACCATTTCATGTTCTGTTTTTTTTTTTTTTTTTCCTTTTGTTTAAACTGTTGTATCATTTTCTTGTTTGAGAAAATTTCTTGGTAAAGAGGTACAGGACTGTTGACCTCAGATTGTTATATGTTTATTATATTTGAGGGGCACATCTTTATAAGGTAGGTATGGTGTTAAGCAGACAATATAGTATATTCTCAATTCTGGGTAAATATTGAACTAATGTGATGGGCTGCAGTAAAGCTTCAACTTTTTTTTTGATTAATTTATTTTAATGTTGTGTGTGTGAGTGTATTGCCTGTATGTATGTAAGTGCATCTGTGTTGCACAATACCCATGAAGGTCAGAAGAGGGCATCAGATGCCCTGGTACTGGAGTTACAGATGGTTGTTAGCTGTCATGTGGGTGCTGGGAATTGGACCTGGGTTCTTTGCAAGAGCAATCAGTGCTCTTAACCACTGAGCCATCTCTCCAGCTCATGTATGAGTATTTTGCCTGCAAGTATGTAAAGCATCCATGTGTGCAATGCCTGTGGAGGCTAGAAGACAGTGTTGTATCCCCTGGAACTAGAGCCACAGACTCTAGTTAGCTGCTCTGTGGGTGCTGGAAACCAAATCCAGGTCCTCTGTAAGAGCAGCCAGTGCTCTTAACCCCTGAGCTATCTCTCCATCCCTGGAGTAGAACTTTTAACTTTTGCTTATAAATGCAATAACATTGAGTCCCTAAAAAGAAGTGCTGTCCTATGAGACTAGCACGAAAATGTTCAGACTCACTAGGCACCTAAGGGAGGTGCTACTCCATTTTATTGTGGTTTTAGATACTTGACTTATTACCTGGAACCAGTAGTTGTCTCACCTGGGCATTTACCAAGTTCCGGTGAGAACACTGCTGCTAACGAACCCTTAATTAAAATCAGAGACTAACCGAGACTTTTCATTTTAGAGATTCTTAAGAGAGCTCATTTACCTCTAGGTATGTTTTACATGGGAAAATGGAAACAGAAAATGCTTGTCTTCACACACAGCACCAGATTTTGGAAAATACAGACAAAATAAGTCTCGACACTGAATACCTTAAAGGACGCTTACTTGGGTAGCCCTTCAGTAAAAACAAGACTACAAGTCCAAGTTCCTACAGTTGGGGTGTGTTTAACCAAGAACAGAGTACTTCTTTCATGGGTATCGTGAACTTAAGAGCTTTCTGGATTGTTTTCAGGGATCAGTTCCTATGGGGTTCAGGAGGTTTTGGGGAATGAGAGGATGTCCATCTATTAGACACTGCAAGAGATGTACAAGCCCTTGTCATTGATGGCATCTCACACTCCAGCTCCTCTGTTGATCAGAGGTGATTTTCTTTAGAATGGCACCTTCAGTTAGTGAGTGTTGGCTCAGCTTTCATGAAGTTCCCTTGCATTAGTTATATGTGGTTTCTCTAGTCCGTTTCTTATTTATCCACAAGGTCATTGCCACCACCATTTCCCTCTCAGACCAAATGATCCTCAATGATCACAGGAAATAGAGAGGAGGGTCATTTGCTTCCTGTATTCTCTGTCCAGATTTTTATTATACTACTAACCCCATACCCTTCTTCCTTCAGTCTTGCAATGACTGTCCTGATTTTGTATGAATACTTAGCCCATGTTCCATTTCTTCCCAACGTGTTCTTGAAGTCCTTACTAATATTCTGTGCTCGTAGCTTGTTAAAATGTGAGCACCTCAGATGGAGTAGGATAGGGCCATTCCAGGAAGTGCGGCAAAAAAAAAAAAAAAAAAAAATCAAAGGACTATTTCAAGACACTACTTCACTACATATCTCAACACAATATCTGAAAGGGATTCCTTAACTTGGAGTTTATGAAGATGTCAAAGGTAATAGTGTTGAAACAACTGAAACTGGATTGCCAAGAAGTCCTTTAGGGTGTCTCACATCCATGAAAGCTGGTGAGAAGCCATACCTTGGGTGGCATAGAAAAGAGTTTGTGTTAGGATTCTGTTACCTTTGCTGCATGTGGCCTGGAGAATCTTCTCCTGGGCACCCAATCCTTTTTTAAATTAATTCCTGTGTTTACTTGTGCATTGTCTCAAAGTCAGTCCTGGAGCAGCAAACCTTTTATTACCTGGTTTTTCTAGGATGCCTGATGCCCTGGCAGAGTTGGCAATGGATATGCAACACAGTTCTCTTTAAGAAGCTAGCCAGCATCAGTGTCTGCATCCTTCTTAGCAGATGGTCAGAACTTCTTGTTAAGCTACAAAGAAACAGAACTTTCAGAGATTTGTTGATGACTGTCTCTTCTTTCTATGAACACCCTTGGGGAAGTGCCCTAAGACATCCTTAGTAACCTCATTATACTTCTCCCAAGTATCAGTGACTAACATGCTAACATGCACTAAGGCACTCAGAATAGTTTAGCAACTTGAGACTCTACTTGGTTGGCTGGGTTATGCACACTCCCTTCTTTCAATAATGGACTTGGCAGCCTAGCTCCTTTACCTTCATATTCCATGCACAAACATCTTTCTCTGAACAATGCAATAGTTTTCTCCTCCCCTAGTGAACATCAAGCTTGGAAAATTTCTATTCAAATGTATTCTCAATACATTCTGATCTAGGGGGGCCAGTCCATACTGAACTGGTTTTGGGTACATGTGCAGTAAGGCAGAGCTGTGTTCTCAAGTGGACTTTTAGGGGAAAATCCCATATTTATCATCTTATGTCTATGCATAATTGGATACGCATAGAATTAAAATCAGATGCATTATGGTAAGGGACAGATTCTTTTTCTTGAATTCCATAAAACATGCCCCTAACAGTAGTTGGGACCCTTGAGTACTCTCACTCATGTGGCTTGCTGTCAATCTTGACAGTGACTGCCTCTTTAACTCTACTATCATTTTGCTTTGAATAAAATTACCTTGTTAGTTTTGCAAATCTGTGTGAGCTCTTTGAATAAGGGGCCAAGAACCTCTTGGCCTAGACTCTGACCATTGGTAACATTATCATTTCCTTCCCATTCTCCCTTGAAGTACATTTTCTCTGAAAAGCTTAGGCCCAGTTGGAACCAAGAGCTTAGTCGCTGTGGTTTCTTCTTGTTGCTTTTCTTTTAAATGTTATTTCCTTCTGGGAAAATGAAGACTTAGCTTTCTCTCACTATTCCCCCTTGCATCCATCACATCTTTGGATACATTCCATTCCTCTGTCCTCCAAGTATGTGCGTACCAGTGTCTGAATGGCACAGATCTCCTGTGATTACATGATTGTGATTGTGCAAACATTCTTCCCACTTATCAGTATAAACATGTTCCATGTTCATGTATTTGATGAGCTTTTATTGTGCCTATATTAGGGGTGACTGAAAAACTGTGGCTTGAGGACCAAATGTAGCTGCTACCTGTTTTTGTAAGTAAATCTTATTGAAATGCAGCCATGTTCATTTGCATATTTTCTACATTTGCTCTCTCTTTAGGACAGTAGAGTTAA